CTCCCCCCATCAAACACACGCGCGGCGCTGGCCATCCCCCCTACGCGCGCCCGCCCCCCCCGCTCCCCCCCTCCACCCTCTCTGGCTAGGCCCCCCACATACCTCTTGTAATCAAACAAATCAGCAGCAGCTGAGGATGCCACCCCCCCCATACCATTCTGAATGCCCGCTGCCCCCCCATACCCTCCATGCCAGCTGTCCCTCTCCCCATCATACAAACACACGCTCCACACCTGCTGCCCCCCACCAGCTGCCCCTCCCATCTATTAAACACACACATGGGCACACAGCGCTGGCCGCCCTCCCCCCTACGCACGCGCGCACCCTCCGCGCCAGCTGCCCCTCCCCCCATCAAACACACGCGCGGCGCTGGCCATCCCCCCTACGCGCGCGCACCCTCCGCGCCAGCTGCCCCTCCCCCTACCAAACACACACATGCACGCACCCGGCGCCGGCTGCCCCTCCCCCCCTAGTCCCCGCGGCGGGCCGGGAGAAAGCGGGGCCAGACGCTCGGCGGGGGACAAGTCACCGTTCCTGCAGCGGCTCCCCTCTGAGGAGGCTCGGCCCTCACCTGAGAGGCCGCGACCTAACGGCAGGACTCGGGGAGGCGAGGAGTCGGCGCTGCCGCCAGCCGCTGAGGAGCGCACACCATTCAGTCCGAAGAAAAAAACAAAGCCGGCTTCCTTCCGGCATCCGATCTCGTGACCACACCGTCATTTGACGGGCTGGGCGGATTGGAGCCCGTCGCTATCATCTGAGGGTTCGAGCCAACCCGCTCTCCCCAGACAGGCACATGGGCGGGCCCTTCCAAGTCACAGACGTGATACTCACAGCCTCACCTTTCAGCAGCGGTGTCACTCATATCCTCACTGTATACTAGCCCTGTTCTCAGCGGGCTGGCTCAACACATTGCCCAACCCTAAGGCACACCAGAGATACTCTTCACAAAACCACTGGGCCCAGTTTCCTTGTCACTTTATGAGGGCATTCTCTGTCCTCTCATTCTGCACTATCCTTTGTGAGATGCAGTAGAGATACTGCACACAGGAGCCACTGTTTTATATAATAGCATAATATAGTCTATATTATTTTAGATTTTTGTGTGTGTTTGTGTCCTAATTTGGGGGGAGGGAGGTTACTGCAACTTCACACTCGGCAACTTAATATTTAAATATCAATTACCAGTGACATAGAAAACATGAAAAGTCTTAACATTCATATGTAAAAAAAATTCCACAACAGATTCAGACACAACTACATCATACAGAGATAAAAAGCAATAGAGGGTCCTGTGGCACCTTTGAGACTAACAGTAGTATTGGGAGCATAAGCTTTCGTGGGTAAGAACCTCACTGTGCCACAGGACCCTCTGTTGCTTTTTACAGATTCAGACTAACACGGCTACCCCTCTGATACTTGATACAGAGATAAAATAGCCTGACAAATACCCATCCAGGGAAATAATAAAACAGATCTCTTGCACTGTAAGTCATTGGATATAACACATTTTGTGAAAGTTGAAGAGAGAACATAAACCAGCCATAATTTCAAATCATGCTTCCACCATCTTATGGAAACCAGTCAGATCAGAATGGAGAACCTACCCACCTACCAAACCCCCTCTCCTGTTTAAATACACATTAAGAATCAAAGTAAACAATACTAGACTATACCTCAATTTCTACCCCTGCCCTCCTCTGGAAACCTACAAACAGAAACATTTGAGAATAATGGATTATAATGGAAACTGGAGTGTAACTTCAACTATAAATGGTTTCTCTCACTGTAACACCTAAGGCCACAGGAGTAGTTCAGAATAGAGCTTACCTCACCTGATTATTTTCTGCTGGAACAAACATGGAACTGGTCTCCCAAGTGATACTGAGGAGAGAGAAGAAACATCTTCTAAAGAATCAATGGCACAGAGAAGTGGGGCTTGAATTAGAATTTCAGTTTGAGTGAGAAGAGTAACAGAATGGTACTTATCTGATCAATAGCTGCTCAGTGAGATTTTCTTTAAGTGCCTGAAAATCCTTCCTGAAATGACAGTAACAGGAAATTGTTAAATAAAGGGAGGCTAAACTCACATAATCCATTGGATTCTATTCTATGTAGGTTCTTATACCACTCATCACCACAGTATTCAAGTGCCTTCCAGTCATGCATTGAACTATGTGACTGATATCTGTCACAGGTGGTTCTCACTCATATCTTCTCCCAAGGATCACAGTCCCAGGAATTCCCTATCACAACAGATGTCCCTCAGTCCTGACATGTAGCCCACATTATTGTAGCCCTGAACTTTCTCCCCCATTCCAGCATTGCCATTACCCCTCAAACCTACTTCTTGAGTTCTGGTTTCCCTTCCGCACACCACCCAACACACACACAAACATACCCCGCCCCCTTTAAGGTTCCCTACTTACAGCTCTGCTGAAGCATCTGAATTCTGATCTGAAGCTCTGCCTGCCTTAAAACCAGCAGTTGAACGAGGAAGAGAAGACAAAAGGCCAGGATGGGAAATGAGAAGAGTTGGTGAGAGAGGACTGGCCAGGCTAAAGGAGCCAGGAAGGGCCCAGACAGAGTGGAAAATGGGATGTTTTGAAACCTGCTTCCTCTTATTCCTCCAACTCAATATGATGGAGGGTTGAGTTCAGGATCCAGGAGGAGAAAGAGGCTTAAGTTGTACAGAGTAGGAGAATGAGGCAGACAGAAGGGCCCATGAAACAGGAGCCATAATACCACAGTGCCACAAACCCAGTGTGGCTCCCCCTGCAGAGAGGGAGAAGGGGGCCAAGTGTCTCACCCTCATCATTAAACAGAGAAGGTGCATGTGAACCATGCTGGGTCTCTTTGACCCCAAATAGGGCTTATTTGGTTACAGACACAAGAACCTGCAGATCTGGTTCCTGGAGATTCCTTCACCATCACATAGACATGTGCAAAGTGAATGTAAAGTTAGCACACCATTAATAGGGGAGTTTTACACCCACTCTGCATAGGCGTAATGATGGCAAGGGGACTGGGGAATTTGGCCTACAGAATTATTGGCTATTAGACCCTTTCCCTGAGAGAGTCTGGATGAGTCAGAGCAGAAATCCTGCCCCATCCTCCCACACTGCCAAATCACTGCTAAACCACTGCCCTGCAGGGATAGTGCTCTCTCCAGCTTCAGAGCCCTGCAGAGGCCCCTCCACATCCAGAGTCCTTCAGTAGGGGGTATTTACCCTCCCTATTCTAGCTCAATTGTGTGGCCCCTAATGCACTCCAGAGACCGTTTAGGAAACCACTGGGCTCAATTCTCCTCTCTCGCTTACATGGATGTAAATTGTGAATAACTGCACCAAAGTCAATAGAGTGACAATGGCATAAAAGCATGAGAGGAGAAGGAGAACAATAGGCAGTAGTGCTGGGGAAGCCACCTCAGGCCTCATAAAACCATCTGGACAGTGCAGGATTAAACCCTACAACCCTCCCATCCCTAGGGCTTTATCCAGCTCTGCTTACTCCTTGCAGGGCTCCTTCCCCTCAGAATGGGGGATCTGATTAAGAGGCGGGGGAAGAGAATATGTATTCCTAAAGTGCTATAGGTCACAAAGGACATATGGGGTAAGCAGGAAGGGAGTGAAATGAGCCAGGAGTAGGGGATGCAGTTACAAATCTCAATCCACAGGAAATAACCGAGTGATGAATCCCCTTAGTGCTCACACAGGTAGGGGAAGGAATCACACCACAACCCCTTCCCCTACCACCCCTCTTTTATTTTCGGTGGTAAAAAGTCCCCCCAAGCGCCACCCTGATCTATAGTCCCTGTCTTCAAAACAAACCCCATCCTTCCCCTCCTAACCCACCACTCCGTCCTCACAGTGAGCTTACCAGCCAGAGCTGGGTCAGGGTCCAAAGCTTCTCCCCAGCTCTCCACTTGATCCACACACAAAAATGGACGCCATCGCCTTCTCTTTCCTTCTTCACGGGCTCGGCACCCACATGGTGAGAGCTGATTTGTGGTGCAATACCATTGGCTGCACTTCCAAACCTCAGAAAGAATCATCGGCAAAAGAGCTCAACGATTGGCTCCGGTCCCGGAAAGTTGATGCATAATTCAGTGCTTATTGCTGCTGGGGCTATAAATGCTGAGACAGATTCCAAGTTCAGTGTTGCTGTCTGCGAGTGCTCAAAGATCATACGTCATGCCCTTAAAAAAAATCATAAGATTAGCTAAAAAACGTGTGTGTGTTGTTTTTGTCTTCTGGCTTTTGAACTGTTAGGTTTTGCATTTTCAAGCTTTTTCCATGATCATGTGGTCTAAAACTGACTTTTCATTTTAAAGGAACGCTGAGATTGTGATGCATTCACATGACTCTAGGAAACGGAGCTTTAAGAAAAAACTACTTTTGTGAGACTTGTGAAATCTGCAAGAGCTGAAAGCACTGCGGAATTCAGAGCCTGCCCTGTTCCTGTATGAGTCACTGGCTTTCCTGAGCCCTTATATTTCTGCAGCCGGTCAGCGTCCATCAGCTGCCTCCTGGCTGCGTCTACCCCTCCTCCTGCAATGAAGTGTTTAACAGATCTGTGTAACGTACTCGGATTCCACTGTCTCAGCTTTCATTTAAATAACCAGGTCAACATGTTCAAACCAGTGTGCCTACTTCAGCTCCTAGGAAATTAGACATTTAATAGAAATACCCTGAGTTTTAGAGGGGCTGAGAAACCTTAGATCCTATTGAAGGCAATGGAGTTACTCCAGATTTACACCAGCTTCTCTGAGAGCAGAATCTGGCCCTGAACCTTTCTGCCTTGGAGGCATGGCCAAGAGCCAATGAACTGAGTACATTTGCTCTGGACGCCACCCAGTTTTGTCACTGTTCTCACTCATTAACTCAGCAATAGAAGAAGAGAACTTGCTGCTTTTGTGTGCTGGTTTACAAAGATACGGACTGGCAGCTCTTTGCCTGGGATATTACAAATTGCTATGAGCATGGGGAAGGCTGCTGTGCCCCAAGATCTGGAGCAGGAAAGGTGGGTCTGTAATTCGTGTAAGTAAATGGGGCTACTGTATTTTGGGCTGTGTTTAGGGCTTCTCTATAAAAGGGGATTAAAACTGGGAAGTTGGAGAAAGGGGGTGAAAGATTGATTGGTTTGAAATCAATAGCTGCACAACTATTATTCACTGATTTAGAGAATCTCCCTTGTCTCCAGATTTGCCAATATAAATAGCCTTTTGGACCCGACAACCAGCTCCCTAAAACAGGCTAAACTCAGCTTAATCTGGAGATTTTGAAGGGCCCTGGAGAGTAAAAAATGGATTGTGGGAAGGCTGGGGCACTTGCTGTCCCCCTCCCCATCCCTTGCCCTACGTTGAGTGAATTTGGGACTGTGAGGCAGGTTTAAGTACTTATTCTCCCCCAAAAGCCCAGGATTATCAGACTGAAATGTACTGAAAGCAACCCCAAAGGAGGTAAATCTTGGGCCAGATCTTAATGGAAGTTAAGAGACCTTCTGCTGATCTGCCCCCCGCCCCCCCATGTCTTTGAACTAACCTCGGCAGCAGGTGTGGCAGAGCAGTGGGCTCCATTTTATAATTCCAGCTCTGCAGAGTATAAGTACAGGGCGTGGCAGGAGCTCTGGGCCGTTTTACAGCCTGCAGAGAGAAAAGAACAGCATTGCTAAGGAAGTCATTCTTAAATTGATGGGGTGCTCAACCCCCAAAGTTCTGCTAAACAGTTGTGTGTTTCTGGGAGGGATGAGGAGTAGGGTGACCAGATGTAAAGAGAAGAGGACAGGAGGGGACAGTCCCGATTCTGGGGTCTTTTTAGGCTCCTATTACCCCCCCACACACACACCCCACCCCCTGCCCAGATTTTTCACGTTTGCTGTCTGGTCACCCTAGTGAGGAGAGGTAAGGGGAGAATATTTTTGGAGGCTAGGGCCAGATTTTCAGCAACACCAGTGTAAAGTAAAAGCAGAATTACTCCACTTACTATGTAACTCAGAGCAGGATCTGACCCATAGAGACTAATTATGACTAGTATCAGGGGGTAGCCGTGTTAGTCTGTATCTACAAAAACAACAAGGAGTCTGGTGGCACCTTAAAGACTAACAGATTTATTTGGGCATAAGCTTTCGTGAGTAAAAACGGAAAGATTCAATTGTTATCCGTAAATGTCTGTAAACATCGACTTCATCACACAGAAACCAACAAAAAATTTCTATTGATAATCAAAATGTACAAATTAAGAAATACACCATTTGAGAACCGATTAGAGTTTGATTTAAGGATATTTACTTTGTGTATTTTGGCATGTGATGTTGACAATTTGTGTTTTATTGGTTATGAAACTTTTTGAATTGCAACATGTCATTAAATAATTATTGTCGGGTCCTCCATAATTTCCCACAAATGTGGAAAATTTAAATTGATTACAAAAAATAAAAAATGCTTAAAAATAAATGACATCCATCAAAATTATTAAAAAAAATAAAAATTGATTTCTGTCAAGTCTAATTCTGACACATAGTGCCTGCATCTCATCAGTGTAAATACAGAGACCCCACTGGCTGGATTTTGATCAGTGACCCCAGTGTAAATCCAGAATGACCAAGCAAAAGTGAGTTGTGTAAAACTGGTATAAGGAGGAGGATCAGAGTTGGGACCAGTGTGTTTGTAAGAGAAAAGTCTCCTGACCCTGTGTAGGAACAACACTTCCCTTAAATGGTCCCTATGCATGGTTTTGCTGTTATACCTAGTACAGTTAACACTGTTTTATTGTAGTCTTTCATCCCGTCTCCCCACCCCCAATACACTGGAAGCCATAGATACCATTTGAGGTGGACTTTCAGGGCTAATCGATACCCTCAGATTCCTCATCTCTTTTCACTATATTGTGAAACTGGGACTTTGCCTCCTTTATCCTTAAGGGGCCCTTCTCTGGGGTAGCTCCGTTGGTGAGCCTGAAGAGTCTGTAAATGCAGCTAGAAAAGAGAAGGAGCCAGTGTCCTGTGATCTGTCAACCCTCCTGGCAGAGTTCATTAGCCCAGTGCTAGTGAGATCTATAGAACTTGAGTAAAGTGGTGAGTCTTACTGTGTTAACCCTTAAATTGCTGGCATGTTCCATGCAAGTTAATGCTCAGGAAGGTAGGTGTGTGTTTAATTATAGCCAAGATATTTTCATTGTGACTATGGCATTTTGGTTTCATTTCAGTTCCAGGCAACACCCGCAGCTGTCATCTGGCTTTGATAGCCATCCTCTAGGAGAGCCAGAGTGGAGAGATGATGACGAATAAAATCTCCCCAAGGAGGAGGAGGAGGAAATCTGCCACTGGAAGAAGGAGCTAGGAATGAGTTGTCTGCCTCTCCCAGCGCCCCTGTGGTATTGAGCTGTGAATGGAAGAGACAGCACTGAGGCTTGTATGAAATAGAGGGCTAGTCAACAGTCGATTGACAAGGCATCCCCACTTCTGAGGATGGCAGCGCCTGCTGCCTCTAGGATGCTTTGCATCCACACACGGCTTTCCCCTGGTGGGATGTCACCTCCTTTGAGTGGAGCAAAGACTCATTCCCACCTTCTGCAGTGTCCCATCAGGGTGGGTGGGAGCACTCTGGTGATTGCAGCTGCATCAGGCAGTTGATCCTCCCAACTGCATCTACAAAATCACAGGGCACTTCCCTTCTCAGCAGGACTGCGAGCGGCCAAGGCACTGATGTTGCTGCTCTTGGGCCTTCAGAACATGCCCCCTTCCCATTCAAACAGGCTTGAGAGGGAGAAAAGAGCCTGAGCTCCCCCTCTGCTACCGCCTGCAGCAACAGGGGCTGGGGTGCTCAGGAAAGAACCAATTAGTGGCGCAAACTACTGGAATGGTCAATAGCATCCAGTCTAATGGAGGTTTAATAATATCTCCCTCCTGTCCTCTTCTCTTTCCATCCCAATTTGAGATGTGAGGGTCTCTTTTCTTATTGTAGTTTAATGAATAAATGACATGAATCTAGCTTCTCCTTAATTTTGCTGATTTCCTAATCTCTCTCTAGAGATCAGCACCAGGAATTATGGCAAAGATGCTGCCTCAGGCATCCCACTAAGAAATCCATGTGTGGAAAACAGGCAGTTACTGGCTAAATCTTGCCCCTCCCTGGCAAACAGACTAGAACCCTGGTCCTTCAGCTCCAAAAACATTAGCTTCTGTTCTTTGATCTAAAGGAAGTTTCCTTGAACAGATAGTAATTCCTTTATCCTCACTATGGGGTGTAGCCATTAAGGGGTGACTTCACACAATATATGACCTCCTGGGAGGGAGAGGAGATTGGGGCAGGGGGGAAGTGCCAACCCTTGGTTTACTTCCTGGTGGCCCCTAGTTTATCCTTAGATATCCAATCTCCAGACAGTGCCCCAGTTAGGGATTCCCCCAGGCAGCACCTAGGCCCCAGTTTACCTCCAGACACTTAGATGCCACCAGCTTCCCTCTCAGACACCCCATCTGATCCCCACAAACACTACTCCGCAGCAGCCACCCCAAGCTTTCCATCCATCTACCCAGTGCCCCCAGCACTCAACACAGCTGCCAAAACGTCATGTCCTACCCCCTTTCAGTGGTTGGGGCAAGATGTACTGACCGCGGGCTGGAATTTGCAGATATGAAAATTAGCTAAGTTACATAATGCCACATGCACAGAATTTGGCAACTATGCATGGGGTGAGTATTTGTGTGAGCACACATGGTTGGTAAACTTTTCCACATGAAGTTGTGATGAATGAGGATCTTGATCTTTTAACTTTTACCCATGAGATTAGTCCCATTGACACCATTGTACAGCACCTAGCACAGTGGGGTCCTGGTCTATGGCCCTGGGGCACTGAGGTGCTATGATAATACACAGAATTAATAGTAAAGGGATTACTTGTGTGAGTAACAGTTGTAGGGTTCGACTCAGGCATCAATCTGCAAAGACTTAAGTGTATGCTTATAACTTTGCATGTGACAGTAACTCTACTGATTTCAATGGCACTAGTCATGTGCTTAAGATAAGCATATGCATATATCTGTGCAGGAGTGGGGCTTTATGCTAGCAGCTCTTTATGCAGTGATTGGATTTTGTAAAGTGTCCTGTGCGTTTGCAGTGCTATATATATGTTTAATAATAGAGGATAAAATGAACGGTATGAGTGACTGTTCCAGGGCTTGTACATCACTCTAAGTACCTTGGGGAGTTTTGGAGTCTATGGTATTCAGGACTGAGCCCCAAACTGCCACAAAATTGAATGGGAGGACATGTGAGCTCATTAATTCAATATACCAATCCATCAATGCAGGATTAAAAATGGACGTGCGAAGAGAGACTCTCAGGCAAGGAAGGGGAGTAAAATAAGCATTCAACCTTAGACTGACTCTTTTCAGGGTTTAGATGAATGACCTACCAGTCCTCTTGGAACAATCCCCAAAGCCAGGACTCCAACAAAGTGCCTGCTGTGTACTGATGATCTGGACATACTATCACGGACACCAAAGGGTCTCTACAGAAATTTACACCACTTAGAAACATAGCCCCTACCAGCTATGGAAAAAACAAACATTATGGTATTTCAGAAGAATCTCCAAAACAGTCAGGTTTTATTACAGAGACAAGAAAATTGGACACACTCTAAATGATACATACCGGGCCCTCATAAATCCATCAGGAAACTTCAGATTAGCTAGCAGAGCCCTACAGGACAAGGTTCTACAAGTCTTCTATGCCATAAAGAAACCACTGAATATATACAACCTCCCCAATAAAACTACCTGACCGCATAATCCAACCATTTTACTACAGGGAAATGAAGCCTGAAGCCCAATTCTAAGAGCCAACTACAGTGACTGGGATAAAATCCTCCACCTGCAGTTCTGCAAACATACGCCACAGGCACGGGAACTCCAGCAGTAATAGCTGCAGACCAGAACTAGACCAAGTTCCCTGGAAATCGGCATCCAGAAAAGAATATTCAACTTCTGATGCCACTTCCTGGAAAGCACCAAACACTCCTCACATTGCAAAATACTAGGGGGATCAAAAACTAAATCCAAATGAAATTATCCACATCTTATATCTTTGCTCCCCAGGATCAACAATTCCAACCACCTAGCCAATGGAGCAAACAATTAAAACGGAAATGTGATCAACATGTCAGACCAGTACTACCTCAAACACCACTGGACAAGGCACGGGAAAGAACAAATCAAAAGTTTGACTCCAGCAGGTACTATGATACAGGGCCAGGCAAAACTAACACAGATTCTCTCCAAATACAGAACCAGTGACCACTTGAGGTGGAAATCCGAAGTTCCGAAGTCCAGCCTTAACCCATGATGTCCACATGACACAGGAGAGATTGGGACAGCTGTCCCAATATGCCAGTGTCCCAAATATGAAGGTGTGAGAAAGTTTAAGGAAAGCTATCAGGAACCCTAAAAGATGTCTCATCAAAAACGAATGAAGAAAAACTAACTGCTCCTGGAAGAAAGGGCAGAGACAGTATGGGGTGACAAGCCACCAGATTAGGGATGGACAATAATGATAAAGGAACACAGGTGATCACATCCCAAACAGCGTGTGTGGCCCCTATGCTGTGTTGGCTGTCACCCAACCCTGACAGATATCTGAGGGGCCTGTTTTCCCCCTCCACTGGCAACATTTGTGTAGCTCCACATGCCAGTCTAGCTCCACATGTCAGTGAAAACTCATTGAATTGTACCCAGTGGAGCTGGGCTCTGATGGGGAAGAAAGAGGGAGATAAGGGGGTCCCAGTGCAGGGGGTGATGTAGAGGTTGTGACCCCCACCACTGTACAAAGTGCTAGCCAAGCATAGGGGTGTACCTGGTGGCA